AGTTCAATCTAATTACAGTGAGACAAACTGTCTTCTGAGTCCAGCAGGCCCCGCTCCACCCAGAAGCTTCCAGTGACCCTCGGGGTCCTCTGCCTCTGTCATCCTAAGCACTGTGACAACACTCTCTCCCTCTGTGGCTCACTCCATTCTTCCATCCCACCCTTTCCTGCTCCTGCCCAAGAGAGACAATATGGGAAAGACGTGGGACAAGTTTATCACCTTTTTCATATACTTGTTAACTTATCCGTGTGGCAAAATGGTTCTTGACAACAGCTCTCCTTGTCTGTCACCAGACCACCAGAAGCATCCCATTAATGACTCATGTTCTGCTGTGCTAAATGCAGCTCAGGGACACCGTGCCCAAAGGTATGTACATTTCAACGAGACCCCGAGGAGAAAAGACCTTTAATATCCAACTGAATGAATTTCAGTTCTTACAGATCCAACTGAATGGATGTCTGGCACTGTGGTAAGTGTGTTTTAAGATGCCTGTTTTCTTTGTGGAGAGGAAGATGGACCTCCTAGCAGACCTGAAACCATTGTATGCCAGCAGCACCTCACCCTACTTAGTCCGTGGCCAGCCCTACTAGACCCCAACCATTTCAGAATAATGATAAAAGGAAAAGGGGAATGGAGAAGGGACAAAGCTCTATGGAGAGAAATAGTTGCTAAACACTAGTATTGCTGCTAGGTTGAGAAATTGAAATTAAACCGAGAAGACTCCTAAATTACTTTTTTTTTTTTTTTTTGCGGTACGTGGGCCTCTCACTGTTGTGGCCTCTCCGGTTGCGGAGCATAGGCTCTGGATGTGCAGGCTCAGCGGCCATGGCTCACGGGCCCAGCCGCTCCGCGGCAGGTGGGATCTTCCCGGACCGGGGCACGAACCCGTGTCCCCTGCATCGGCAGGCGGACTCTCAACCACTGCGCCACCAGGGAAGCCCCCTAAATTACTTTTAATACTTTCAATACTCCCAGAAATTCCTCAGCACGCAGAAACATACTTCTCCAGGCCTTCTGTGCACAGGAGGAGCTGCTTTCTGCTTTGGGTTTCTGCTGCTAGATGTGTGTGGCCAACCAACATAATAAAGCCAAGAAACTAACTGACCAAGTGTCAGTCACTGTTCTACTAAAATAAAGTGATAACTGCAGATAGCCCTACGGATCCCTGAACTACAGGGCTCCATGAAACAATGCGCTCATGCTCACAATTAAAAGAGGTAGAAGAAAGGCTATTTTAATTTTGGGTAGCAAGGAGAATTTACTTGCTAAGAAGAGATAGTGCAGTTTCTTTCTCTGTGCAGGGGGCTTGGGGGGGGTCTTAAAAATCATTAAAAATCAACATTGGAGGAGGCAAGGGAGCTGGTCCCAGCCAATTTCCTGCCCCTCTCTCCAGGGAATTCCGAGAAGAAAAGAAGCTCCCTCTGTACTAGAGAGCTGTTTATTTGAGCAATTAACAAAACATGAGGGGGTCTTTTAAAATTAAAGGGGACCTTGGTTTTGCTCTGAACCATCCCATTAGCTCACACCTTGGGCTTTTACCCTTTTTCCACTTTCCCTGTCAGAAAACAAACACCACCCAGAGAGCTTTGCCACTTAGAAATGTCATTTTAGGACCCAAGTTCAAAAGACTAGTTAAGGGACCCACAGCACTAGGAACTTTTTAATAAATATGGACAGTTTAGATTCGCTGTTAGAGATTTTACAACATAAATGTTGTCTTGTATCTGGAATTTGCTTTTAGCTTTTGCTCAGCATTGTTTGTTTTTTTATAATTATAGTTGTGGACGCATCTTCTTTAGTTCAATCATCCTACCCGCCATGCAGTATTTCATTGTATGACTATATCATGATTTATTCAAAGGATATACAGATTTTGACAGGTAGCTGAGAGGAAAGGGAGCAGAGAGTATGGCAACTTTTGTTCCAAGGAGAAAGACAAGAACATGCTAGAAGAATCTGGGAAAATGGCTACTCTTTGTAAGGAGAGGACAGCTAGCTAAAATCCACCCATACAGGGAGATAGAGTAGAAACGGGATTTGGGACCTTGAAGTTGGTAAAGGGCTGGAAGAGCCTCTGGAAAACTGATCGGGGGTCACTTGGTTTTTTAGTAACATCAGGTCTAGAAAGAAGCTCCCTTGATCTCTCTTGTCTGACCTTTGCACCATTAAAAAAAGAAAAGTCACATAATTGTCTTTGCAACCTTTTAAAACATTTGTGAAACACAGACTTCAAGTTAGTCCTTGAGAAAATGATCGTAAATTACAAATTAGTGGGGATCTGTATTACGTTTTTTCTAGAAAGAATATAGGTTGCTTTTTTATCCTTTTCAATTAGTAATAAAAAGAAAAGCCTATTTTCTGTGTTCTTTTATTTGTAAAAGCTTTAACTGTTATATACTATATACATGCTTTATATAACAAATATGTTTTTATCACATGATTCCAGACAAACATTGTCTATAAGCTTACTTAAAATTTTTTATAGACAATACTAAAATTTTTTAAAAATCTGATAAATCTATGTGTCTGAATGATGAAAGTGCATTTTTAAAATATTATCCTTCAAGGTATACACATTAAAAGTGGCAGATATAACAAAATCAGGTGCCTTCTTCCAAGAGCACAGCTTTTCTGAAGGTACACCCCCTCTGACAAGTTCAGTCGCATTGCCGGGTACCATAGACAATGAGGAATACATCACATTGCACAGTTGCTTGCTGTTGACATGGAAAGACAACTCAACAGAAGAGCAGGATCAAATCCTCAATCTTTCTGGGAGAAGGTAATAAAAGACTTGAAAGCATTTATGCAGTAAATAAACAGAGGAAGTGTTAACAGGTTTAATGATCAGGTACCATGATGCGGGCTAGCATCCATACCTAATAAAAACACACCTGTGCTCTTCTTCATCAGATTTGTATTAAAATCACTTGAGCATTTATCTTATAAGTATTTTCTTTTTCTCAAAGTCATAAAAGAACCTTGCATGAGGAGAGTAATGACTGGCATCCTGTGTGGTGGTCACTGGAAACTCAGAGTGGCATTACATCCCAGAACATCTATGTCATGTCATTAATTCTTTGGGGAATACTTGTATTTAATAGAAAATTTTAAAATAGCATGTTTATTTCTTGTTTGCTTTACTTGCAATTATTAAGTTTTCCAAAGTTCACTTAAAAAGGTAGATTTATGTTGACATATATATATATATATATATGATTTTTATTCCCATCATCTGATTGATAGAGCAACTGATTTTTATTAGGAGGGGATTTTAATTGGCTCAAATGTAATTCTATCTTACTAAGTATTCAAAGCATGTACTCCAAACAAACGGATGCCATCATCACTTTGGTTTTTTTTATTAAAGAGTCCATGCTCTCAAACAGAGAAATTTAAATATTTTCCTTATCGTGTATTTCCCCCATCAACTCATGGCTATCAGCTAACATGAACAGAATTGAGACTTACACAAGTGCAAAAGGAGATATGGCCCTTCAGTAGGTATAAGGAATCTACTTTGCTAACTAACATTATTGTAATAATAATTTATAGGAAACATACTAACTTAAACAGGAAAAAAAAAGCACCATTTATCATAAAGGCTAAAAGGAAGCTCTGACTAAAGTTCTAAAGTTCTTAAATAAAGTATACAAGACAAGCCTAAGATGCTTTAAGCATACGAAATTATGAAGGAAAAGAGATTTTTGTCTACAAAGATATTTTATGTAGATATTTCTGTTTTTCTTGTTTCTGATTTCTCATCATGTTGGGAAATATCAAAAAGTTCAAACTTTTATAAGTCTAGGCAAAAGAGTCCTAATCATACTGCAGGAGAATGGAAGTTTTTGATTCTAAGGACATTTCCGATGCTAAACTATTAGGCCGTTAACCTGTAGTGTCCAGAGATGTAAGTTGGGAGCGAGTGAAAATTTATTTAGGCACATTCTCCAAGAATACTGATCCAGTGTTCTCCTGGCAACTAAAAAAGTACAGACCAAAATGGAGAGCAATAAAATGTTCATGGTTCACGAAGTTTTGGTTCCTAGACGCAAAGACTGAAATTTCCCAAAATTGAGTCAAAAGAATGAACTCTTACAACAGTCACCACATACGTTTCTAATCCTCCAAGTTGAGATTTGCATGAGTTTATCTTAAATATTAGACTTATTTTTTTTAAAAGGACATTGCCCCATCCACTAAATTCAGCATAAATCAGATACCAAATCCAAATATTTCTAGACCAGACCTTACACAGTACTAGTTGATAGTAAATCTACCTTAGTAGAATATTAAAGGCAATTAACTTCATTCTACAACTTGCTGATGCAAAAAACTATGATTTATGCAAATACATTATCAGCCTTAAATATAAAAGGTGGAAACATACTATAAAGAAATCAAGTCAATGTTCACAAATTTGCTATTTTAATGTAAGAGCATTACATGAATCAGTGCAGTAAGGTCTAGATCTAATAGAAAGTTTAGCTGATGCAAAGACTTCATCAATCCAGAGGCAAAAGTATATCATTTACTCTGCATAAAATTCATAGTATAAAGATCATTGAATTCCAGATCATGTAGATAAGCACTAATTCTTTAGTCCGATCATTTTAAGCTATCTGCAGACCAAATAATGTTCTTGCTTGATTACATAACAGAATTTTTAAATTTAAGATTCTCCCAGGAATAACCTGCTGTATAAAAATAAACAAGCAAATAAAGTAAAATTTAAAAAAAAAAAAAAAGATTATCCCAGGAATAAATATGCATTTTGGCTTACAATGCCCATAAGGAACCCTGGAAACTTTCTTCAACTTATCTTGTAATCATTAATATTTGACATTTATAAATAAATGCAAAGCTTTGTGTTTTCTTAATTCAGTTGATTATCATTAATCTTCTGATTGCCATTGAAAATCTAACAAGTCAGAGAATAATGACATTACAAACTGTATCCCAGAATACAAATGACTCAATAAAGAAATTATTCTACTTACAGACTTCCTCTTCTGGGGAGACTCAGCTCCTTCTGCAAAAGAAAAAACGAAACATGTATGTGAGATGCTACATTAACCTTAGACTACTAGGACACCAAACAGGTAACATAAAATGTATCATCCTTATTATGCTTTATTTGGCATTTTCTATACTGAAAAGATTTTAGTGTAATTATTTTATGCTGGATCCCTTCTGACATTGTTCCCTTTATACACTGTATTTGACGTACAAACCCTGTTTCCCTAAATTCCAGAGCAGAAAAGACATCAATCCTCCCAAAGCAATGACAGTCAAATACTGAGTTGAGCTACGTGACCCTATAATTGAGGGTAAGGGAAATCTGAGCAACCAGAGAACTTATCCAAAAAGGAAACAGAAGGAGGAGGAGAAATTTTGCAGAATTATAATTAAGTGAAAGGTGAAATGAAAAGGGTAGTGAAATCAGACTATTTGCCTCCAACAGAAATAAACTCATGCAAAACATTATGTCTACCAAAGATTATAATTTAAAAAAGAAATAGAGCAAAAGTTTTCCTTCTGGTATTATTTCTTAAAACAAATGTGACTTATGATTAAGGACATTTAAAAGTAGGTTAACGAACTTCTAAAAAGGTAACCAGACAGCAACAACAATTAATATAGTGCTTTATAGTTTCAAAGGATGCTCTTACACTTATCTCAAATTAAGATCATTATCTACCTTTCTAGAGAGAGTCTATGGGAAAATAAAACAAAATAACCCAGCAAACAAACAAACAAAAAGGGATACAGAAATACCTCCACCCACTAATGGAGCTTTCAGAAGCCTGGGCACTCGAGAATGATTACTTGATGACAATAATTAAAGAATAGGAAGTAATGAGTCACCTGGCTATTTTAACTCAAACTTTGAAAGCCTTGACTAAATTTGGGCTTTCCTTCCCATAATTATCATTTATTTTTTTGCCTGCCAGGAGCTCAAGCATCATTTTTTGAAAGGTGCTTCCCCTTCAGCTTCAAACTCACCTTTCCTGTTCCCTATTTTTATTGGATCCTTAAATGTTTGTCATGGCCTGTGGCCTCACATCTTACTTCTAAACCATGCAATTTGCTCCATCACAGCTTACAAAAAATGGACTTAAGAGCAGCAGCCCAGAGGAGGATCCTGCCTTAAATAGAACTTATCCAAAGTTATTACTTTACTCACTTATTAACTGGAAAATATATTTTGATACAGAGTTATAATAATCAGATCACTGTTTAATTGCAAGAAAAAAAAAAAAAACAATTTTAGGGACAGAGTATTTTCTTCCTTCTCCCAACAGCTAACCATTTTCTTTTCACGGACTGCAGGGTTCAGTGGTGAAATGCTTTTGTTTTGTTTTGTTTAGAGTTTTTCTTTAATCCTTCATTAGCCCCAAGAAATTACGGCGTTTGTGAAGTTGGCTCCCTGATTCTGAAACATAAATATACCTTTATTTACTAAAGCCTCTAATAAGAAGAGTAAAGTCTTTGACCAAGACAGTTTTCCTTGGGAACTGAAATGTAAATAGAACACCAATGAGTAATTGTCTCTACGTGTGTCTTGGGTTATGACAAGCACTGAGAAATCTGTTTGTATTCAGGTTAAAAAAAGAAAAAAGGAGAACTGCCTAGAAGTAATCATTCACCAGAGGGTTTCTTTTAAAAAGAAATTACTGATCTGAAAAGGAATACATATATATAACTGAATCACTGTGCTGTACACCTAAAACTAACACACCATTATAAATCAAATAAACGTCAATAAAAAAAAAGAAATTACTGAGACCCACTACATAGCAAAAGGCCTAGAGCTTAATTAAATAAGTAAGTACTGCTGTTTAGTAAGTTCATCTGACAGCAGTATTAAAAGAAAAGGAGGCGTACCTGAGGTGCTATCATTAAAAACAGAAAAAAATAAGTCAGATGTTGTTTCAGTTCTGTACGCAAACAGATCACTCAGAAGATACAAGAGGAGAAGGGCCAAATAAATGATCCCCAAACAGTTCAATCAATCATGTTCCACCAAATGACCCGACTGTAAGCTGGCTGCTTTGCTATGAGAAGAAACTGCTGAAACGGCAAGATAAGGGATGAAAACCGACTCTGTTTTTAATCAGAAAGCCCTTCCAACAGGTCTAGAATTATGAGTTCTAAACAAGAAGAAAGGTCACAGTGGGTAACCCCGCAATGCTGCTCCCCGGGACGGCGGCCGAGGTTCCAGGACATTTAATAGGCCACTGTCAATGACCAATGACCTGCAGGGTCTGTGCTAACCAGGCTGAGGAGCTAATCCACCTGACGGCTTGAATGTCAGGCTTGGAACTGGAAACTCAATTTGCTAGCAAATTGGAATCAGATGCGATGGTAATAAAGTGAGAGAAATGAATGTGCTGTGGCCAAGACCTTGTGAACAGTGGCTGCAAAAGCCTGCAAATCCCAAGAGGGCTAAGCGATTGCAGACAGAGCCAGGAGGGGCTGCTGTCCTGCTGCGTGGGGAGGGACCATCCACTGGTCAAACTGCACGGGCTGGACGCAAATGAGCAATATCAAGGCACTTACTGCCCCAATCCTAGTGGTACTGTGCGTGTGTGTCCTTATTCTCTTAATGTCAGGATCAGGTCACTCAACCATACTTACATAATTAGATAAGACATGTGGTATTGGTTCCGGCCATAAACCAAAGCTTGTGCTTAGTATATTTGGAGCATGTGTGAAAAATTAGCATCAGATTAAGAATAGAGAAGGGAAGGGGGCAGAGAGAGAAAAAAGGGCAAGAAGCGTCCATCTGAACTGAAATCTATGTGATTATTAATCATCACAGGTTAAAGAAATGCATGAGTGTATTTAAGAATATTAAAATTTTAAAATTATTTTCATTGATATTGATTTTTCAGTGACATCTAATATTTTTCAGAATTGCTGTGTATCATTACTTGCTTGAAAATATGATCTCCTTTGCCCCCCTTTCTAAAAATGCTGACTAGCAAATACGTGCGTTTGAAAATAAAGACAAAGTTAATCGAAGAACTCTGTTTCCCTTCTTGTGATCTCTTGATAAGACTGAGAACACACAGATTCCTCAAGTACTGAAAGAGAATTTCTGGGAGTCTGGGAAGAAAAGAAAGCATAACAAATGATCCTGCCCCTTTCCTCAGCCAGCCTTGGCCTCAAAAGGAGAAGATAACTTGTCTCGTTCATAAAGGCAATTGAGAAATTGCTGCAATGTTTAACATGTACAAGCAATTTCCACAATGGCAATTTAAACAATATATACTATTTAATACATATTTAATAGTTATACAACAACATGGCAACACATGCCACATGTATTTAAGAAATCTTTGAACTATTCTTTTTAACTGATGGGCCACTTTATGATTTAAAAGAGAAAGGAGATCTTATATCATATTACAAATATTATATTACAAATAAAATATCCCCTCCTTCAAGAGGTGGGGCTTAATTCTCTTCCTCTGGAGAGTGGGCTGGACTTAGTGACTCCCTTCCAAAGAAAGAGGAGGGAAAAGGAAAAGTAGCAACTTTTCAGTGGAGAAACCTGACAGACACCGTCTGAACCAACCAACATTAACGTTACCAACAATAATCATAGATACCATGTGCCCCTGATACGATGTCATGAGAAGAGACTTCACCACTGTGGCATTCTCCCTAAAAATCCTTAACTCCAGTCTCATCCTGGAAAAAGTACCAGGGAAAACCAAACTGAGGATCATTCTACAGAACATTCTACAGAACAACTGTCAGGGTTGTGAAAAACAAGGAACAACTGAGAAACTGTCACAGGTCAGAGAAGACTCAGGAGAACGATGACGAAATGCAATGTAGGATCATAGACTGGATTCTGAACCATAAAAAGGACAGTAGTGGAAAACCTGGTGATATCCAAATAAAGTGTTTAGTTAATAGTAATGTACTAATGTCAATTTCATAATTTTGACAAATGTATTAAGGTTACATTAAGATGTTAACATTAGGGGAAATTGGTGGAAGGGTATGCAGAGATTCAACTGTCTTCAACTTTTCTATAAATCTAAAATGATTTCAATTTTTTTTTTAAAGTTCTCTAAAAAGAAAGAGAGAGCTAAGGAGAAAGAAAGACGTGTGTGTGTGTGTGTGTGTGTGTGTGTGTAGGCTAGGGCATGGAATGTATGAATAAATATCGAAATATTCTATGCTTATTTTAAGGCCATATTTAACCCAGTATTTTAGAAGATTATAGAAATAATCTAAGTGAGAGAAGCTTGTGACTAGGACCATCAGTGAAGATGTTGAGAAGCAGTCAGGTTTGAGATATGTTTTTACAGAATATACAAAAGAACTGGATGTGGAAGATGGAAGAGAAAGCCAGAAAGAGTAAAAGTTCTTGGCCTGTGCAGGGGGAGTTTGAGGGAAGAACGGTCCTATCTGGATACATCACATCCAAGATGTCTGTAAGAAATCCAAAGAAAAATTTCCAAGCAGGTGGTTGGACAAACGAACCTGGGTTCAGGAGAGAGGTCGGGGCTGAAAATAGACTTTGAACTCATTATTGTATAAGATGGTACATAAAACCGTGTGCTGGAAGTGACAGGAGAAGAGAGAACAGAAAAAGAAGTGGCACATATACCTATATGTATATATACAGGACCATTTAAAATCTATAAGCAGGGAGAATTCTGCTACACACTACGCCCTGTTAAATGATGTGCTGAACTATGCAGACCCTGGGTTCTTCAAACAACACAAACTGAATGAGGCTAGCAAGTAAAAATACTACTGGGTAGACACCAGCTCTCACACAGGTGACGGGATTGTTGCACAGACAAGGTCAGAAAATGGGAGGGAACTAGGAAATTAACCCCCAGAGAACATGACCACATCTGGGGAACGGCCCGTTAGGACACCTCTGCTGCTCAAGGCTCAACTGGGCCTCAGCCTCCAGGAAGGACCTCTCCACTGTCCCAGCACCTTCCCCTCAGCACTCTGGCAGGTCCCCACTCCCCGCGAGAGTCCCATTACTGCCAGGTG